GGGGGGGGGGGCACACTTAAACTTGATACAAAATTGAGTAACCTTGGCCTAAAGATGCTTCAGACCAAACTTAGTCAAAATCTACTGGGCAATTCAGGACAAGTAGTGTTTTAAAGGAAAAGTTGATGGACAGACGACGAACGACGGGAGACTGACACCGCCGTATGGCATCAGCTCACCATGGTCCGCTAAAAATAACGGACGACAGATAAGACAAAAGCTGATCACAATAGCCATGTCAATAACAAACAACTTAATTGAACTATCTTCTTTGTAGAATCATATCGATTGAATATTCCAGGTTTTGACAGCTGAAAAACTTCAGAAAGTCAAGTTATCTGTTTATGTCATGTTTCACTTCATGTAATACTTTCCTATGACAAATTAGAGGTGATATTAAGTAAATGTCAATACTTACTTAAAACTTTGATGGTTATGCTTCCGGTGTCAGTGCCATGTGCACTTGCCCATGTGCCTTCGTCTGTAGCTCTCGACACTGATGCTATACTGAAGGTAGTTACTCCATTTGTGAAATCTTGTGTAAAGCCTGTAGTGCATCCTCCACTAACACCTCCAAGTGGTGCTAAACAGTTTCCAGCCGATGATCCATCTGGTTTATTCAAAGTCAATCCTGTATTTATTGTTCCCAGGTTCAACATTATTTCCAAACTATCAGAAGGTACTGCATTCTTGTTTAGTGCAATATCAAATCCAAATGTTTGATCTGGAAAAAGTCATAGTAAAAGTTTAGTCAATAGTAGTATTACTGTATGCTAGAAACATCTATTAAATAGAGCTTGATACACAATTCTTGATATCAGATTGATTTTGTTTAGTTGATGTGAAAATTAAAATGCCGAAGTGTACATATGTATACTGAACAAAAATTAACACACATAGTTCCCCCCCCCCCCCATGCAGTACACCTTAGCTGTAAGGAAATAATGGAGTATTTGGTCAGGTATTACATCAAGAACGATCTTCCTTCTCAACAATCTACCCTAAAATCAGCCAAGCGTGACTTTGTGAGCTTCTTTAGTTCAAATCACGTGGCGTGATCAAGCCAAGCCTGAGTTTTTCAAACAAATAATCTCAACGGATACTCTAAGTTCAGCCACATTAATTTGCCACGTTGGCATTTTGATTTCGCCATTGACTGAGATGCCACGCTTAACGCAAATTCAGAGGGTTAGAGCAATTGCGCTGTTGATGGATTGTCATAGCCAAACTGCTGTCGCACGGCAGTTTGGTGTTGGCCCGTGTACAATTAACCGTCTCTGTACACGTTTCCGTGCTACTGGGTTAGTTTCCGATTGTCCCTGGAGCGGTAGCCCGTGTGTAACGGCCGCACGACAAGACAGGGCGATTTGATTGTCGCAATTGCGCAACAGATTCAAGACTGCTGTAGAGACTGCGTCGATACCTTAGGTACTCAAGGCAGACCCATTAGTCATCATACTGCCAGGAACCGCTTGCGTGCCGAGAGAATGATTGCGCGCCAACCTTATGTTGGGCCAACTCTGACACCACGGAGGCAGCAAGTGCGTCTTGACTGGATGCACAGACATGGCCCAAATAGGTTTGGGATGCGTCGATGGAGGCGTGTGATGTTCACCGACGAGTCTAGATTCTGTCTGTATCGCTCAAACGGAATAAAAAAGGGTATATCGCAAACGCGGTGAGCGTTTCGCCGACGCATGCGTGGTTGAACACGATAGATTCGGTGGGGCTTCTGTAATGGTTTGGGGAGGCATCTCCCATGGAGTAAAATCCACCTTAGTGGTCCTGAATTAAAACTCAATGCGGTTTGATACAGAGACCAGATCCTTCAACCACATGTCCTTCCACTTCTCAGACGTCATAACTTTATTTTCCAGCAAGAAAATGCTCGAACGCATGTTGCCAGAGTCTGTCGTGATTTTCTCACGGCAAACAACGTTCAGCCTCAGGTTTTAATGGCCCCAATATAGCCCTGACATGTCTCCCATTGAGCATCTGTGGGATGAGCTGGACAGGCGTATTAGGAAACGTCAAAACCTCCCAACTAACCGCCCCCAGTTGATCGCAGTATTAACACAAGAATGGAACAACATTCCCTTAGGGCGAATAAATGTTCTCATGAATTCAATGCATAGGAGAATCTGTGCAGGGATTCGTGCAAAAGGTGCCCACACCAGGTACTGAAGTGTCATTTTGTTTTTCGCGGGTATATAACTTTGAGTGACAACTGATGACACGAGTGACTCCACACAGACTTTTCTTCTACAGTATTGTAAAGAGTAGACTTGTCCCTTCATATTGATATAAAATTTTGTACAAATTTCCCAAAATATCATAGGCTATAGATTGCATAATTTAATTGTGCGTTTCTTTTTTTGTTCAATATAGTATTTTTTGTATTTTGTCTTTGTGTCGAGTCCAAGGTTAAGTGTCTTTTCATCAGTTCTTGATGATTCTTGGTTGAAGCCATGCCAACATTGAAGTGTTACATAATTGTATATATTG